TAACAATTATACATATGCATTTATAACAGTTATGTATAACAGTTGTGTATAACACATATTATATATGCATATAACAGATATGTATCATATATTTATGCATCAATTGCATAATTTAAAAATGTATAACAGTTGTATATAACAGTTACTGTATACTAACTACATGAAATATATTAAAGATCTTCATTGAAAAATATATATATGTAAATATCTAAAGACAAGAAGTACTAAATAAAATATTAAATTCCAAATACGACTTATATTAAATATATTTATATATGAACTATATATAATATATATATGAACTATATAGTTTATAATCTTTGAGTAATTCAAAAATAAAATTTATATCTAAAACTATTTGCAGCTGTGATCGTTTAGTACAAATAATATTGATCGGCATCAACAGCTGTGGCAATTAGCGCTATTCGTTCGTCTGTCTGTCCATCTGTCAATCTATCATTCTGTTCAGACGTCTATCTGTCTATCTGTCTGTCTCTCTAACTACTTAAAATTTTCAAATATGTATTCTTGCACTGTCTACACAGCAGGCGAGTTGATCTTTAATATCAATAAATATCGATTTTCTGTGCTTACTTTAATCACTTTAAGCTAAATACACCCAACATGAGCATGCATATTCGAAATATTTTGATTCCTTTTATTTTTGTATAACTCTCAAAATCTATTTGAAATTGTATATAGGCACTTGAGCTTTCTTAAACTTTAAAGCAAATACTAATTCATAAGTACTAAGGGCTAACTGGTAGTCGAGCAATGCCAACGAGCGCACCTCAATTGTACTCGGAAAAACTTTAGCTAAGATAATTTAGGGAGAACTTGAAGCCTTTGCTTGAGAATGTCTATTAGCATATCTATATATATCCCTATACATATTTATATATGTAGGTTTATACAGCTATATATATATTTATATATATATATATATAATTCTTAGTGATAAAGTTCATAGCTAAACTATATATAATTATCATATTAATGTTTACAACTGACTAAATCCTTTAGCTTAGCACACACTTGAAAACTTTGAGCACACACCCACGCACATACACACACTCAGCCACACACCCACACCCACACACACACACACAACCGCGAATGTGAATGAATGAAAGTTGTTGTGTTGCATAATTAAGTGAAAAGCTTTTCAAACCATGAGAGCAACTAAGCTGTAAAAGTTGTCAAAGCTTTCGCGCCAAAAGCTCGCAGGCGCGTAAAGTGTCAGAGCTTTTCACACAGACACATGGCCACCAGCGCGCACACACAGACACACACACACATGCGCGCGGGCGTAGTTATGCATAGTTAAGTATTTATTTATGGCTTGCCAGTACTTTAAATTGCATACAAAATTTATGGACGTGTCTGCGAGTAGGGGCAGGGAGCAGGGCGGGCGCTGAGCGCAGGACTTAAAACTGGAAAGCTTAAAGCTTTTAAGCTAAATGTATGCAAAAGTTATTAAAAAAACCCAAGAGCTTGGCTATGCCCAACTGACAGTTATCCTACTCAAGCTCCAGCCATTGCCTTGTTATGCTATAATTAATAGAAGCTCTAATCCCAGCAAATTGGCCAGTGCTCGACTGGCAGTTACCCTGCACTTTAATTTTAGATCAAATCTTCACTACTTTTATAACTTTATTTATATTTATAACTAAGCATGGAAGGAAAGCTCCAAAATGTTGAGCTCTTTATTCTAAGGCTGATCTTTAAAGGCAGCTTTATATCCAAATGTGTCAAATATGCAAAAATTTGTTATCGATTTACTAATGTTATCGATAACTTGAAGCTTAAGCTAAGCGAACTGATCGAGTCAAGTCTGTATTCATATATACTTCATGACATCGACCACACCTCCTGCTGCCTGTCGCATAACATAATATACCCTGCTAAACTAGTTTCAGGACATTTTCATTTCACTTGAGCCAAGCACTTTATATCTTTCTATATATATATATATATATATAGCAATTATTATAGCACCCAATATATATATATACATTATTATCGTGGGCCATTAGCTTTGGCCAAGTTGTACCTCGTCGCAGCCCCTCTCTTTCCTTCTCATTTCGTTTTTTAAAGCTTTTTGTGCCTGTTTAACAGCTCTGCCGGACTTTGTGTGCGCCACGCCCCCTAGCAGAGACCGCCCACCCCATAGCACCTAGCTGTACAAAGTGTCAATTATCTACAGCGTCAACAAGGCTGGAAAAAAAATAAATAAATACCAAAAAATATACCAAAAAAAAACGAAAACAACGAAAATAATAAAGATAAAAACGCGACAGCAAATGTCAAAGAGTGAAAATAATCATCAATCATTTTAAGGTCAAGCGGACAAGCCGTGAAGCAAGGAATATATAGATATGTATATACATATATATATAAATAGATAGATAGATATATATATATATATAGCTAAGTGTGTGCACTGAGAGAAACAACTGAGCAAGTAGCTGTTGAGTGCGCCTTGGGGTTGATGGCGTTTTGCCTTAACCATGAAATTCTCTTGACTGAAATCAGTTCAGTGTTCACTCAATTCGAGCTTGAAAAAAGTTTGCAATTTCTATTGTAATCGGATCTTAATGACATTTGAAGTTCATTTCTAATATAATTCTCTTAGACTTTAAGCGGAGCATAACAAATTCTGACTCTAGCTGGGCCCATAGCTTCCACAGATTCGGTTAAGTTTATTTCGAATTATCGATTATATATATATATATAATATATAATAATATAATATAATATATATAAAAATATAATATAATATAATATAATATAATATATATTTGTAACTGAGCATTCAATTGCCTAAAGCAAGAAATGTTATGCTTAAGGCGCGTGCTTGATTTGTTCAGTTTCTAGTTTTTTTCCGACAGTGTATATCTATATATCTCTATAGATATATAATAATGATATAGTTTAGACATTGTCGACAATTTATTGATATTAATTACAATACTAATTATTGGTCTATATTTAGTAGCGCTAACATTTCGTTTGGGCGCCACATTTATATTTCATGACGGCTACGTGTGTGGGCGCAGCTATAAATATTTAATATAAATATACTATATAGTCTATAGCATATAGTATATATATATATCCGATATATATGGGAGTATAAAAACGGCAGTTTTAAGAAAAATTCTGGATGATTATATATATATATTTATCTATATAGTTTTATGCGTGTGCAAATGAATAATCAATTGGGCATTTCAATGTTGTTTTAATGGGCTCTTTGTCATAGTTGATTTACTGTTATCTCTCGCCTTGCTCGGCGATTCTCATGTAATAATAATAATAAATAATAATTGAGCCAATGCGGCGTATGCGCGATATTGATTTTCACTAATTGGATTTGGGAGCGCGAAAAGCAACAGCAACGAATCAAAGCGCAAAGAAAATATGAAAAATTGGAAAAAATTGGAAAAATGGAAAGTGGAAGGCGGAAAATTCGAAATGCTTAAGTGCTTAAAGCATGAAAATCAATTGCTGGCAACGCGAACTAGAATCAAATGTCAAGTACCTAAGGCAGCAAATGTAAATGAAAACTAATTGAAGCCGAAAATGTTTATTAATGAATAATTAAATATCGATTTATCGGATATCTACATATATGAATATGCCTGTATATCCGCATAGCCACGTGCAGCGGCTAAATTATTCAAAATGTTTGTTTTGCAAGTTTCGACTTTTAGTTTGATACAAGTTTTAATAGGCTAGTCTACTGATGGCACAGCTATCGATAACATCAACGTATATGTATGTCTATAACTATCGATAAAAATAATTTAACATAATTAAATTATGATATATATATATATAAAAGACGAATGCAAACTGTAAAATATCATATTATTTAATATCAATAAAACTATCGATAACATATAACATAGCTAATTAAATACATTTATAACTATCGATAACATCAACATATTCTTTTACCATATAATAAAATTATTAACTATTTCTAATACAACTTCACACAGAAATTCACAATTTCTTTACTATCGATAAGCGATACATCTAAGGCACTAGCATTTTTGCCCTAAAAGCTACAATAGTAAAAATAAAAACAAAGGAAATAAATTATTTAATTGCATTCTTCAACTCTGCAATATGAGAGGGCTGTCAAAATTATCGATAATTTTTATCGATATATTTATTATTGAATAAAAGTTAAAGTTTCGAAATTTATTAAGCAGATACCTTATAAGACACATGACGTTCGATTTTTTTACGATACGGACATAAATATCGATAGCTATCGATATCTGTTAAAGTTGTTCATTGCGCTTATAAAATGAATTATTAAAAATGAATAAACGCAAATATTTTTGAGCTGCATAAACAATCTTAAGGCTAAAAGTTAATTTAAATTTATCGATAACTATCGATAGCTAAGATTATGGCTGTTTGTTTGGCTTGAAATTAAGTTCTAAGTCATACTGTAGCCCTTCTGTCAGATAAGTCAAGCTTGATAATGCTGAAGCTTGACTATCGATAACTATCGATAGTTTGATTTTAATAACATAAAACCAGAATGTTAACTAAAAATATCGATTAATGGACTTTCACAATGTTCACATTTCACTGTAGTGTTGAGGCACACAAACAGCGTACATCGTCTACGACTCACGATATATTGCCCATCTTTAATAATAGTTGTCAACTAAAGAGATTGGCAGATCGAGATGTTGGGGTTGGTGGATAACACATAACATCAAGTGCACTATGTAGGACAGTGTACACCAAATACATATAGATTTGTATACATATATATTTATATATATACATAGAAAGAGCGAGGGAGACAGTTAGAGAGACAGGGGAAGTGGGGGAGGTAAAGTTTATTGATTCATTCAATGTTCAGATTGGTATGTGCCCTAGCAGCCATTTGGCTGACATTTCGATATAACTATATATCTATGTAGAGAGCGAGAGATAGATATTGAATGAAGATATTGTGGGTCAATGCTCACCTGCTTGAACGGACGCATGCCACCATTGATCCTTAGGGAATCGGCAGCAATGCCCGCAATGCCATCCTGTGTGCTCTCCCGCAGCTGCTTCAACGAGACATTTGGCACCGTGTGCGAATGTCCGCAGGAGCTGTGCGTGCCACAGCAAATCGCTGTGCTGCTCGATTCCGGCTGAGAGCTTTGCCTAATTATCCGGGAGCCGTTCGTTGGCGATGAGGTTATCAAAACGGGCGGCACCTGCGGCTGCTGATAATGATGCAGTTGCAATTGCTGCTGATGCAGCAGCAATTGTTGCTGTTGCTGCAGCTGCTGCTGCTGCTGTTGCTGCTGCTGCTGCTGTTGCTGTTGTAGCGTTGTGTTTGATATGCATATGGCCATGGAGCTGCTTAGATTGATTGGCTGATAGGCACTTTTCACGCTATCTCGCGATGCGGATCTATCGATTTGCCCGCCCGTCGATATGGGCGTGGTCGAGGCGCGCCGACTGCAGTTGCGACAGGCGCGACAACGACTCGGCGCACTTGGCGGTATGCTCGATGACAAGTTCTGATATGATGTTGTGCCCAAGTTGGGATGGCTCGAACCAGTGCCGCTGCCTAAATTCATAATTGATATGGTTGGTTTCTGTTGTTGTTGTTCGATTTGTTGCTGTTGCTGTTGCTGTTTGGTCTGCTGTGCTGTGCCAGAGGCACTGGTCGTTGCCGATATTGTTGTTGTTGTTGATGTGTTCTGCGTTAGTTCTTGGTCCTCTTCGTGCACCTCAATGTCTGGCACATTTGTCGCGCATGGCGGCTGCCTGCCCAGCCCCTGTTCAATGTCCTCGAGATGGCCAACGCAGCCGCCGCGCATACTCTCCTCGGAGCCCATGCGCAGCTGTTGCGATTGCTGCGGACTGGTTAGATATGTGGAAGTTCGATCCTGACGCATCAGCGTCGGTTTGCCACCGGACGTGGAAGCCATATTGTTCGATGTCGGTCCATTCGCCGAGCTGCTCTTCACCTGGCGCAGCAGCGCGGTCCGTCCGCCCCCCTTTGTGGCGTTCGATACGAGCAGGGAGTCCGTCTCCTCGGAGCTAACATAGCCCGAGTTCGTATTATCGTTTAGCTTCTGAATTGACATCTGCAAGCACCAAAATGCAATTTATCGATTAACAAACACATGTATACTAAGACGAATACCCTGTAATTAACATTCGCACTCCGACTTTAAAAAAAATTAAGTTAAGTATGGAAATATTTTACTTTTATCATAGAAAGTTTCAATTCCCACATTTAATTTGCTTCTCTTCGAATCGGGAGGGTTCGACGGGCACATTATACCCTGTAAACAGTAGCAAAAACTGATTTGAGCTTTATATACCTCATTAATTCGAACTTCTTAGCTCTACTCAATATTTGAAATAGAAAAATAACATACTCTATAGATCAGCTCGACTAGTTCATACCCTGTAAATGATAAGAAGAGCTCTGTAACTTGAGAAACTAAAGAATTGAAATGTCTTCTCAATATTTTAAGTGAGTTTTATAAAAGCTAAAGCTGCATTTATTGAGATCAGAGGCATTGCACTACTAACAACTACCCTGCATTCCTTAGATACCCTGTAAGCATGAGACAACAATAGGCAACATAAGCAGATCTTTCGCAACTATTCACAATATTTTAGTGGTCTTTAAATTTTTTTTTAAGATAAGTGCGACTAACAGCTACCCTGTAAAAAGCAACACGACAACACTAAGCAACATGACTAGTTGCGAGAAGCCTTTCGAAATTAACACTCAAATTTAAGTAGAGCTAGAAAGCTCTGTAGAACAGTTCTTGAAATAAGCTCGACTAACAGATATCCTGTATATAGCAATGTAATTCACATTTAGAGATCTGATATGTTAGCTCTAGAATTCCAAAAGTCATCTTTCTGTTTATGGACTTTCAGCTTTTTTAAAACGAAACTCGTCTAATAGATACCCTGTAAATAGCAACAACGCAGCAATGCGTAGTCTTTTCCAATTAGCACCAATATTTAAACAGAGCTAGATTGCTTTATAGAACAATGCTTGAGCAAGCTCAACTAACAGATACCCTGCATCTAACAATGTAATTTATGTCAAACTGTCCTTAATAGCTTAAGAATCATGAAATGCGCAGCCCTCTCATAACATACCCCTAAACTAGCAAAACTAAAGCTAAAGCTTTCTACTTAAGAAGTTGACGAAAAAGCGCTGCGTCAAACTAGACAAAGCTTTCGTAAAGTTTAAGAAACAGCCAAAAACAAGAGATAACGACAAACCGTTTTTAGATACGAGCGAGTAGCACGTGTACAAAACTAAACATAGCCAGACGCACAGGTATGCAGGGGCAGGTGGGTGGTTAGGTCTGCCTGTGCGATTGTGTTTGGGTGCATGTTTGCGTAGCTAAGACCGCTGAGCTGGAAAACTTGATGACCGCACACCTACAGGATGGCAAACATTGAAATGCAAACATGAACTCACGCACATGAGCCTAAGCAATGCGTATACGTGTGTGTATGAGTGTGTGTGTGTGTGTGTTAGGCATTTCTATATTTGATATGCAAGCTATGACGGGTTGGCTAGATTGGTTAGGCGCTTGGCTGACTGCGGTTCAAAAGCCCACAAATTGACAGTTCGCCGTTGTCGATAGGGCGGAAGTGGTTTAGGTGGTTCAGCTAGTTTGGGTGGTTTTATATTATTTTTTTTTGGGTATGATGCCATGATAAACTAATTTCAAATAAGTTTCAAATCAAACTAGCTAGAAAAAAATCAATAGTTTGGCTATAAATACAAGAAGAACAATAAAATTGCTGTTAGAATACCCTGTAAAATGGGCTTAAAGAGGCATAAACGTTACACGCATATATATATTAATACATACATAGCCAAAACTATTGGGTCATAACACGTATAATTTAGTTGATCGGCAGCGCCGTTTAAATTTAATTGTAGTTAATTTTTATTCTTCTATTTTTTTGTTTTTTTTTTTTATGAATCGATAAACATAAATTAGCGAGCTATACGAATGAATATGAGGCGGTTATTTGTGATGCACGTTGACATTCAAATATGTGTCATATTCTATTCAAATACAAAGTAAATCGATAACTGAAACAGCTGGCAATTAGATGTATCGATAAGTGTAATTTCGTTAATAATACAGTTTAACAATCGATTAGAGGACGATCGATATTTTGGACAATACCAATCGTTACTATGAATAAAGGCTTCCCTTTTCATTATCTGTCTACTTGATTTCACGATAACACACATCGATTGCCAAAATCGATAAATGCGTTTTTAATGTAGTTGATCTATAACTGCATTAGTCCGAGCGATAGCACTAAAAAAATGTATCAAGTAATCGATATATTATGTGCTCGATAACTGTAATTGTTATAAATGTAACTGATAATTGTAATCGAATATCAATTTGATCGATACATCTTATCATAGTTATTGAAGCTGTTACAAGATGCTATGTTATCGATAACTGCAATCGCTTTTAGAGCAATTATAACATATAGCTGTAATCATAAGTAATATAATTGATTATAATAATCATAACCAATGCTGCTCCTAGCAGCAATCATTATCATTGTAATCGATAACTGTAGTTTAATCGATTACTATAGTTCCTATAAGTTAGATAGACTCAAGCCTTAACTAACTCAACTGGCAAAATATGCAATACATATTTTGAAATAAATATCAGATGGAGCAGCTATAGGGTAAGCACGGGTATGTGTACCTTCAAAGCTCTTTATTTACCATTGTGCTTATTAGTGTTGCCTTGAGCAATTGTACCGTTTCGACATGGGGAATTGACTGGCGGCGGTAACGGCAATGGCAACGGTAGCAGCAACGGCAACGGCAACGGCAATGGCAACGCCAATGGCAACAATAACAGTAACACAATTACAATAACAGTGACACTGAGGACATGAGTCTTGGGACATGAGCGACACGAAATGTAAAAAGTCGAAACACCTGCGCAGCAACCCAACCTAACCCAACCCAACCCAGCCCAACCACACCCAACCCAGCCCAGCCCATACCCACCATAGTCAGTCACACGTTGGCATGACGAGCGTGCCGCTAATAATAGTCGCCGCCCAATTGAACTCCCAAGTTCTAATTCCCTCCCAGTTGCTCGTTCCCTTGAGTTTCGTGGCTAGTCAATCCATTGTCTGACAATTGTGGCAACAAATTGGGTTAAAAATTTTTTGCTAACCAACACTGGCGCCCAGTGTTGGCAGCGTGTAGCATAGTGCACCTGCATCTGGCGTTAGCGACGTAAATTCAATTTCCCAAACTTCAGTATGAAAATAAATTAGGGCATAACGAGACGAGCATCAACAGCCGCACAATACGCGCTCACAGTTTAAAAATGACGGATTGAAAGGGATGAAATGGGAAGACATATATATATATAGACAGAGAGATACAGATAGATATCGATAATCACTAACTTCCCTGCTAGAAAGAGAACTCTATGAGCCCTAGCCAGTTCAGATTGGATTCAGCTGGAATGACTTAAAGACTTCCAACTCATCTCAATTCTGGAGCTCAATATACCCGCGTGCACTATAATAAACGAGAGTATATAAATACAGAGAGAGAGAGTGAGGGAGACAAGTACGAGCCATTAAAATTGTTGGCTCTAGGGCAGTTGGTTTTCATATTGATTGCATTGTCGGTTAAATTATGACAGGTGCTGCAGGAGGTAGTGTAGGCGACGGTTGGGGGTGACCAACAAAAATTAAACAATATTATTATGACAGTAAATACACACGGACACACACATACACATCTCTATAAATGGACATACGTAATACTTTGCTGAAGCGACAGAAGCTTTGGAATTTTACAATTGGCTCATTAGCTGAGGACTAAGCCGAACAGAGAAATTTTCATAAAATATTTAAGAAATAATTGCGAAATTACATTTGGTGTTAAATCAGACATACGATAAAGACGTACTTCCCATAGCATTGAACTACCTGAATCTATTAATATATAATAGTTGCTGCATTTTAAAACAGATAGCAAGGGAATTTTATATGTTAAAGAGGCAAACGAATGTTAATAAGCATAGATAAATGGGTATTACTTGAGAATCTAAGAATCTCAAATACTGATCTGAGAAACAAGTATAGCTATAGAGTTGGAAAAGTAGACAGACTTACATAGGTAAATAGGTATGCACGTATATAGATAAAAATGTCTACAGATATATAGGTACATATGTCTATATATAGGTACACATATATAAAGGTACATATGTCTATATATATAGGTACACAGATATATAGGTACATATGTATATAGCTATATAGATACATAGGAACACATGCTTATATATATAATACGAAGACATGTATGCATATAGGTACATAGGTACGTACGCAGATTGGCACATAGGTGCGTATGTATATAGGTACATAGGTAGGTACATATACCTCTATGTGCGTGGGTATATAGGTACATAAGTAGGTACATATACCTATATGTGCGTAGGTATTTGGTACATAGGTACATATATATATATATATAGGTACATTTGCCTAGAAACATATATGCCAATAGGCACATGTTTCTATAGGTATATCTGAATATAAACACAAAGGCACACATGTAACTATGTATATAGATAAATAGGTACATAGATACCCCAGTATGTAGATATATCGTCGCATAGGTACATCTGTATATAAACGCATAGGCACATATATATATATACTAAACAGGCATCTAAAAAAAGGAATATTGAAACAAACGTACAAACTATGTGCGTGATACATAGTGTATAGGTACATAGGTACATTTCTATTATATATCCATATAGTTTCATATGTATTTAAATACATAAGTACATAGGTACATCCTGAAACGATTTTGTAGAGTTAAAGACTTAAAGCTTGGGGCAAATGTTATAAGCTCCTCCCACTCTTGGTTGCTTTTAAGTATTGATGCAGTATTTCAACTTGTTAAGCATTTTTTTTTTGTGCTGAGGAAATGTTAGGGATGTGTGTTAGGCGAGCAGAGATGCCCATTTCACTGGTTGTGTCTCTATAAATTGTTTTAGCAAACGACAAACCGGGACAAATTCGA